ATCTCCTGTAAATGAGTGTCACTGTCTGCAGGACAAAGACTGATGTGTTTGGGCAGTGCCACTCTGTCAAGTCTTGTTCTCTGGGCTGCTCACTGCACATGGCATTGGTGTGTGGCTGAGGGGTGCAAAGCTGGACTTGAGCAAAACAGAGAGCAGATGTCAAAGGGGAGAGCAACAGCCTCTGCCACCCCCAAGATGTGCTCTGCAGTGGTGCTTGGGCCTGGGGGGTGTCCTGGGCCATCTCCTTGCCCTGTGTCTGTGGCACAGTGGGCACATCCTGCTCTGCCCCACCTGTACCTGGGACGTTTGTCCTGCATTTCCAGAGGGCTGTGCTGCAGCACCTGGGTACAGACATCAGAGAAGGCTGGTTTGTTTGGGTTGGGAGGGACCTTAAAGACTGTCCAGTCCCACCTGCCATGGGCAGGGACACCTCTCACTAGCTCAGGTTGCTCCAAGCCCTGCCCAACCTAGCCTGGAACACTTCTAGGGATGGAGCAGCTACAGCCTCAGGAGATGGTCCCAAATCCTTGTCCTGGCACTGCTGTCTCCACAGCACCAAAAGCAGCACTCCATTCCCTCCCTCCCCTCCCTCCTGGGCTGCTCCAGCTGCTCCTTGGGTGAGTCTGAGTGGTGAATCCCTTGGCTCTGGCTGTGTTCATCTCCCCAGAGAGGCATCGTATCCCTGTTTTCCTGCTCTGCATTCCCACTGCCCCTGCAAAGGAGCTCCCACTCCCTGAGTGCCACCCCAGCCCTGCATTTCCCACAGCTCTGGTGAGCTCTGCTGCTCTCCTGAAGGATGTTTCACCCCTGGTGTGATGTGGAGCTGCTAAACTGCTCCCATTTGGCCTGGAGGAGTGGGAATTCAGCTTTTCCTTGCTGGTTCATGGGCAGGTCAAGCAGTTTGTGGTGTAAGCAGCTTTGGCCCCATGCTGCTCCCAGCACAGCCCCAGCACCCTGCCAGCTGCTCTGCACACCCCACACTGCCTGTCCCCCTGGGGCTGGACTTCTGCTGGCACTGGGAAGGGGCAGGAAGGGTGAGTTGGCAGCAGAGTTGGTGTTTCTCCCCCTCTGCCCAGCCCGTGGCATCAGGACTTACCTGGGATGCTGCTCAGTGCCATAAGTTGCTGTGGGTAATTTTAGAAGGCTGAAGACCTAAGCTAGCTCACCCCAGAGCCTGCAGCATCCAGGGATTTCAGCAGTCCTGACCCTAATCTAATCGGAGTGGCAGTGGGAAAGTGAGGAGTCCTACAAACCCCTGAGTGGATTAAGAGGTTGAAGCCTTGAAAATTGCTCCATCTGAGTGTGTTTTGCCCAAATTCTCCAGTGTTTGAGCTGCCTGCAAAGTCCTGCACTGGGGAGTCACTTTGCAGTGAAATAATCTAATCTGCTGCAATTCCAGACCTGTTTCATTCCTGTTTGGAATGCTTAGTCTGCCTTCAGCTGGGATCATTTGATGCTAAAGTTGATTTTGTGGATTATTTGCTCACTGTCAACTCTGAAGAGTAAAAAAAAAAGCAATGTAAAAGAGTTCCTCAGGCAGCTGTGAGCAGAATCCTGTTTGGATGGAAAATAAACATCCCAGTGCTGTGCCTTGGGGTCTGGTAAGGCAAAATTGGGGAAAATTTATCCAAGTAATTCTGATCAACTTGCTGCCACTGCTCAGTCAGTGCTGATTTGAGGTGGTTTAATGCTCCCCAGCAGTTCCTTGGAGGGGAAAAAAGCTCATCCTCAGTTCTCTCAGGAATCTCAGCTCAGGTTGTTGTGCCTGCAAAACTCTACCTGAGCTCCTGCTGTTCTTCCCAGTCCATGGGTAGCTGTTGGAGCTGGTTCTGAACTGCTTAAATCCACAGCAGAGCACTGAGTCTGGGACAGAGTCGTTTTTGCAGCTTCAATTGTGCTGAATCATCGACTCAGAGTCCTGAGCAAATGCAGGAGCAGCTCAGGAAACACTGGGAAAGGCTCTGGAGCTGCTCAGAGCTGCAATCTCCGAGTGGGGGAAGGAGAAGTGTTAACCCCGACAGGGACAGGGGGGAGTGTGTGCCCCCAGTGACATCCCAGTTCCTGTGTGGGGAGACTGGGAGGGAGGAGCAGGAAGGAGGAAAGAATTCAGCCAAGACCTGCTAGCCCTGCTCGAGGGATGAGATGCTTATTCCCAGCCTGGGATTTCCAAGAAGGGAATTTTAATGAAAATACAGCAAACTTGCTTAGTTAGTGACCCAGACACTGTCCCCATGGAGTCTGAGGTTTGACTCGCTGCCCCAGTGGGAATTTAGGGTGAAAGCAAGGATTTTCCACAGCTTCTCCCATTTCCCGAGACTTTCCTGGCATTGTTGTGCCTGGACATGGTGCTGAATAATGACATTGTGCTGAGGACATGACATTGGGCTCAGGGGGAGACTTGTCCCTGAGCAGGGAGTGTGGGACAGCTCTAAAATCCACAGTTTTATGATCCCAAACAGTGGTAAAGTCCATGTCAGCTCTTCTCCAGGGCTTTTCCTCAGCACATCACTGCCAGTATTGTCTCATGGTGAGATGAGAAGTGTCTTGAGCCAAACTCCTTGAGTCCACCAGTGTCTCTGGGCAGGGCAGGAGCACCAGCCCCTTGGAAAGAGTCTCTTTCCATCTTTTCTCTCAGCTCCTTCAGGCACTGGAAGGCCACAATTAGGTCACCCTGAAGCTTCTCCTCTCCAGGCTGAACGTTCCCAGCTCTCTCAGCCTTTCCTCACAGCTCTCCATTGCAGAGTGGAATGAGAACAGTGTGTGCCCTGTCACTGCTCTGATCCTGAGCTGGTGCTGGTGGCACTGCCCAAACTTGGGAGCTGTTGCTGAAGCTCTTGGTGGTGTTGCCCTCAGAGCCAAACAGCCCAAGGTTGGTGCTGCCATGGCCCAGCTGAGCTCTGGGGCTGCACAGCACCTGTGAGGGGAAATTTGGGTCCATAACCACTGAGTTTGCTGTCAGTAACTACCACAAGGTGTGAGGTTCCCCTTTCCCAGTGACTCGTGGCTGTGTGTTGCTCTCGTTCGGTTCCTGCTGGCTCTGCACTTCTTTTCACAGCTCAGCTTTCAGCCCAATCACAAAGAACTTCTGCTGTCTCCAGTCCTTTTTTTTCCCCCCCTGCTTTGTTCTCTGTGTTCCCTTTGTTCCAATGTCAATAACCAAGAAGGTATCTCTTCTTTCTCTTCCAGCATTTTCTCCTTCCTGGATGTGGTCACTCTGTGTCGTTGTGCTCAAGTTTCCAGGGTAAGGACCTTCCTCCTTGCTGGGGGGTTGGATGGGAGGGACAATCCCCTGGGGACCCTGGAAAATTCCCTTGGCACCAGGGAAGAGGATTCCAGGCTGGAATAGCATTTTCCAGTGTCCTGGGTAGGAAGGGGAAGGGATTGACTTGTTGCCCAAAATTGGGTGAGTCCAAAGTGGCATCTTGGGGTTTTGGTGGAAATCTAACAATTTTGGTTCACAGTCAAGGAAAGGTTATTTCCTCCTTGGATGTAGTTGGGATAAGCATGGGAAAGAAAGAAGTGTCTCTTTCGGGTTGGATTTGGCCTTAATTAGCTGATGGGTTTGGGAAATCCAACTTGATTTACTTACTTGGGAAAACTCCTCCAACTGCAGGTTTAGTTCTCTGGAGCTTCCAAGTTTCTCCAGGTGTTTTTTTCCTGTCAGTGTCTGATCACAGCCAGAGGAAGGATCACTTCAGGAAGGGTGGGAGGTGTTTAATGTCCTGTCCTGGCTGGGTGACACCTGCCCAGACTGATCAGTCCTGGCTCAAACCTGAACCACAACTTGCTTCATTATTCAGAGCACAGTGGATTAAAGCCTGTCCTTAATCATTATTAATTGCACTCCAAACAGCCTGTGTGATGGCTGGGCACTGCAGTTACCACCTGAATCACACAGGTTAGTAGAGAAATCCCTTCCAGCTGAAATCCACAGCTCCAGCAGATCAATACTGGCCAAACGGGGCTGGCAAAGGCTTCACCAGTGTCAGGGTATTCTCCTGGTTTGTCCCTTGCTCCTGTTTGCACAGAGAGCACAGCAGTGCAGAGCCTGCAGAGAGGGGCAGGAAAGCTCTGTGAGACATTCCCTGCACTGCACAGAGAATCACAGAACCACTGTGGCATTTTTCCCCACTGGAGCTGTTGCTTTTCCTCACTGTGATAACCTTAAAATCAGGATCAGCAGTGAGATTTGAACGACAAAACATCAATTAATGCTCAGTTCTGTCTGTTCTGACTCTGCTCTTGGAAGAACTGGGATTTTGGGATGGAGCTGAGCTCGGGGGCTGTGCTGGATGTGGCACCAGACACACCTGCACTCACCCAGGGCTCTCATCACACTGTGCTTATTACCAGATCTCCTTGTTTGCTTTGATTGTGTAATTAAAGCTTTAATTATAGCACCGTGCTGACAACCTGTTGGGTTCGTTAAGGGTGGAATTACTAACTGGGAGTTCCTGCTTCTCCTCTGTAGCAGGAACCACAGGAGATTTGGGGGGTTTAAATCAAAACTGAACCTCCTAAGTCAGAGGTAGCGACCACGGTGGTGAGGAATTCTCAGGTGGGAACGGGAGGAGCTCTCAGGTGGCAGCTGGAGCTTCACCTGGACAGCTTAAAGCTTGGAATTCCTCCACCTGTGGGACTGCTGGAGGCTGGAGAAGGTGTGCAAGAGGACACTCTTACCTGCCACACTCAGGAGGTCACTGTGTCCTCATCCTTCTCAGCCTCAGGTCACCTCTGCCCTGTCCTGCCCTCTGTGGGACTCACCTGTGCCCAACTGCTGGCTTAGCTTAGGTTCCAGGCAGGAATCTGGAGATGCTCCAGCACTGCCAAAGGAGGAGAATCAGTCGTGGCTGTGGCACCACTGACCCTCCTGTGGCTCTGGAGGAGCTGTTTGGTGTGGGACTCAGTTCCCTGCAAGAGCCTCTGCTAACTGCACAGTTCCCATGGGCTCCAGTTCCTCCTACTGATGCTTTTCCAGCTGGACACAAAGTTGTAGCTCAGAGGAACTGAGTAACTAAGGCCTCACTGAGCTGTTTTTCCCATATTAACCATATGTGCATTTCTTCCCCTGATCCAGGCTTGGAATGTTCTGGCCCTGGATGGCAGCAACTGGCAGCGAATCGACCTGTTTGATTTCCAGAGGGATATTGAGGTATAATTAAGTGACATACAAACCCATTTTTTCTTGTTCAAATGTAATTACAGCCCAGAGTGGATTTCTATTCCCACTGTAACTTTCTTTGCCTTCCCTGGAGACAGAAATCATTCCTTTCAGTCCTTTAGCTTCAGGGAGTCTTTTAAAGTCTTGGCAATCCATTCAGCTTCTGAAAATGGGCAGAATTATAGATCTGTGGCAAGACTTAAAGGTAGTAATGGAAGGAAAGGAGTTGGTTCTGTTCTGAAAACAGAAACTAGGAGAAAAGGTGCATTTTTGGGCAGTGTGGAGCAGAATTTAAGCTGCTTCTCCTTTCACTCCAAGTTAGCACATGAAGACTGAATATATGTGGAATCATGGCCTGAAATATTTCTATCCTTCCCTATCTATCTTTAACCTCAAAAATTGAGATTTAAGTGAAGGGGACTTGGAGGAATGAGGTCAAAATTATCCCTGGAAGATGCAATTTGGGGCTGTGCTGGATGTGGACTCTGCAGCACTGACAGGGCTGGAGGCTGCTGGGCTGGGCTGGAAACTCAGATTGCACTCAGCAAGAAAAGGGATGAGGAAAACAAACCCAAAGTTTGTTGTTAGAGTGTTTTTACTCCTGGTTAGAACTGGGAGGAGGGAGATGGGGAGTGTAATCACCTTCCTTGGCTTGGGGGAGGGAGGTGGGGGATGCATCACTTGGATTTCTTATGGGCACAGGCACAAAACAGCTGCTGAGTGAGTTCCCAGTGTGGGAAATGCACACACTGGTGTGGAGGGAAAAGGTAAAGAGCAGAGTGGAATTCCACTGGTTAGTGCAGATTCTTGATGGAAACACATTTATTCCCTTAGCTCTGTTTTCCCTAAGTAACAACTTGTTGTTAGTCTGGAAAATGTTGAATTCAGCACTGTGGACTGCTGAGGAGCCTTTAGGATTGTCCTGTGTCCCCCCAGGGCCGAGTGGTGGAGAACATCTCCAAGAGATGTGGAGGGTTCCTGCGGAAGCTGAGCCTCAGGGGCTGCCTGGGCGTGGGGGACAACGCGCTGAGGTACTGCTGCCCCTTCTGCCTGCTGGGAGAGGGTGGGCAGGGAGGGCTGGGGGCAGTGAGCCACACTGCTGCATTTCCTCCTCTGCTGCATTTCCTCCCCTGCTGCATTTCCTCCCCTGCTTGCTGCATTTCCTCCTCTGCTTCATTTCTTTCCTGCTGCATATCCTCCTCTGCTGCATTCCCTCCTTCTGCATTTCCTCCTCTGCTGCATTTCTTTCCTGCTTCATTTCTTTCCTGCTGCATTTCCTCCTTCTGCATTTCCTCCTCTGCTTCATTTCTTTCCTGCTGCATTTTCTCCTTCTGCATTTTCTCCTTCTGCATTTCCTCCTTTGCTTCGTTTCCTCCTTGCTGCATTTCCTCCTCTGCTTCATTTCCTCCTTTGCTGCATTTCCTCTTTTGCTGCATTTCCTCTCTTCTTCCTTTCCTCCTTTTCTTCCTTTCCTCCTTTTCTTCCATTCCTCCTTTCCTTTTTTCTTCCTTTCCTCCTCTCCTGCCTTTTCTCCTTTGCTTCCTTTCCTCCTTTGCTTCATTCCTCCTTTCCTTTTTCTTCCATTCCTCCTTTCCTTTTTTCTTCCTTTCCTCCTTTGCTTCCATTTCTCCTTGCTTCCTTTCCTCCTTTTCTTCCTTCCTTTCCTCCTTTTCTTCCTTTCCTCCTTTGCCTCTTTTCCTCCTTTTCTTCCTTTCCTCTTTTCCTCCTTTGCTTCCTTTCCTCTTTTCCTCCTTGCTTCCTTTCCTCCTTTCCTGCCTTTTCTCCTTTTCTTCCTTTCCTCCTTTTCCTCCTTTCCTCCTTTTCTTCCTTTCCTCCTTTCCTGTCTTTTCTCCTTGCTTCCTTTCCTCCTTTTCTTCCTTTCTTCCTTTCCTCCTTCCTTCCTTTCCTCCTTTGCTTCCTTTCCTCCCTCCTCTCTTTGAGCCAGCTGTGTAACTTGTCCCTGCAGTCAGCCAGACCCTGCAGACCCCCTGGAATTCATTGCCTAGGACAGACAGTGTTTTCCCTTTCCTTTCTCCAGGACCTTTGCCCAGAACTGCAGAAACATCGAAGTGTTGAACCTCAATGGTTGTACCAAGATCACAGACGCGTGAGTGAAGCTCTTCCACCCCTGTCAGCCTTTCCTTGGGTGCTCACAGCATGTTTCCAGCTCTCCTCTGAGGGGAGGCCAGGCCTGGGGGTTTGGGAGATCATGGAATCATGGAATGGGTTGGGTTGGAAGGACCTTGAAGCTTCTCCAGTCCCACCCCAGCCATGGGCAGGGACACCTTCCACCAGCCCAGGTTGCTCCAAGCCCCATCCAGCCTGGCCTGGAACACTCCCAGGGATGGAGCAGCCACAGCTTCTTCACAAATGGAGATGGAGAAATCATGGAATCATGGATGGTTTGGGTTGGAAGGAGCTTAGAGCTCATCCCATCCCACCCCTGCCATGGGCAGGGACACCTTCCATAGCTCCGGTTGCTCCAAGCCCAATCCAACCTGGCCTGGAACACTCCCAGGGATGGAGCAGCCCCAGCTGCTCTGGGCAACCTGTGCCTCCTCCCCTGCCCCTGCCCATCCCATGGGATGCCCATGACCTGGGAAGGATCCATAGCCCCAGTGTCTCCCTGTGCTCTCTTCCAGCACATGCACCAGCCTCAGCAAGTTCTGCTCCAAACTCAGGCACCTGGACTTGGCTTCCTGCACATCCATAACCAACCTGTCCCTGAAAGCACTGAGGTAGGAGCCAACAGCATCGATCCATAGAATGGTGGAGTCATTAGGCTCCGAAAACACCTCCAAGATCATCAAGTCAACGTTACACCACCCCCAGTTCCCTCGGGAACCTCCAGTTTGGGGCTGAGCAGATATTCCTCAGGGGGGTGTGGGGTACATCTATCTCCTGTGGGTTCCAGGAATGGGGATTGCAGAGGTTCTGGCTTAATTTCTTCCCCAAATGAATCCTTTCCCTTGCTCTCCCCCGTGCCCAGCGAGGGGTGCCCGCTGCTGGAACAGCTCATCATCTCCTGGTGCGACCAAGTGACCAAGGATGGCATCCAGGCCCTGGTGAGGGGCTGTGGGGGGCTCAAGGCCCTGTCCCTGAAGGGCTGCACTCAGGTATGGCTCTGGGGATGGGGTGGGCACAGCTGGCACAGTCCTGGGAATGGAATATTGGGGATCTCCAGTACTGAAACTCCTCACGTGTCTGATGGAGAGGAGCTGCTTTTGTGGGAGCTCTTCCCTAGCTGTGAGGAGTGAGACAGGGAATAAATGGCATTTCTGGGTGGGGACTCATTCCTTTTCCCATCTTCCCTTTTCCCATGGAGCAAACTCTTTCATGGAGGAGATAACTGTGTTATCCATGAGAAGGCTCAGGGGGTTTATCCATCAGGACATTCCTTTCACCTGACTGTGCCAGAATTTGCTCCATGTGTCCTTTGGATCTTGCAGTCAAGGAGAATCTCTTTTCCTTGGAAAAGAGCACAGTCCTGTTCCCTCAAGCATGTCCCAAAGTTCTGGAGATATCACAGTGTATCAGGAGAGGCTTTGATGCCTCTGGTTTGGGATATAGAAAGGCTAAAAGGTTTGGGATTTTTTTTTGTCCCATTGTTGTATTTTATGTCATTTCAACTGCCTTTTTTAAAAAGCTTCAATTCCTTACTCCCTAAATTTATGCTCCTGTTGCCTTTTTAACCCCTGAGATGGGTATAAATGGCTGGAAAACTCACTTGATTAAAGATAGAACCATCCCAGCCTATTCTGAGAATTCAGGTCATGGAAACAGCTTGGATTTCCAGGAATTTCTGGGCTGGTGAGTAATATTGATGGCAATCCAGGCTGGTTATCCATTCCTTGCCATCTGCTCCCAGAGATGTAAGAATAACAGAGTTTTCATCATCAGAAAGCAGCTTGGGTGTGTTTCAGTGCTCCTCACACTGAAATCAGCCTGGAATCATGGAATATCCTGAGCTGGAAGGGACCCACCAGGATTCCCAGCACGGGATTACAAACTCAGTGCCACTCCCAGGCCTTGGGCAGTCAAGCATTTCCCTAATTCCTGTAAAGAGTTGGTGATTTCAACACTTGCTTTGTTCATTATCCCACTTGGATCCATCAGCTTTTCCCTGAATCAGTAACTGAGGTGCTGTGGGTCTTTGCACTCTGCTCCTCAGGGGGTGGAAAACAACAGCCCAAAGGCAGAAATGCACTTGGTGCTGTTGATTTTGTGCCTGTGCTGCATTTCCCTCCTCCCCCAGAGGTATCCAAACCACTTCATTCCTCTCACAGCTTGATGTTGTTAGATTTCAGCAGTCACAGGTCGTTTCAGTCTCTCTGTTTTCCTTTCCCAGCTCGAGGATGAAGCCCTGAAGTACATTGGTGCACATTGTCCTGAGCTGGTGACTTTAAACCTTCAAACCTGCTTAGTAAGTGAAGCTTCCCCTGATTTCCCAACATCCCTGTGCATTCAGGGCCCATCCCTGAGCAGAACCACGTGGAATGTGCTCCATCCCCTGTGCACACAGGGCAATTATACAGACCTGCACAAACACTGGATGAAAAACAACTTTTTGGTGCCATTCAGGAGCATTGAATAAGCCCCAAAACAGCCTCTGCTGTGTCAGGGTTGTTCCTCTCCTCCCTGCCCTCAGAGCTTCTGGATTTGTTTGCAGGATGAGCTGGGAAAACTCTTTCCATCATGCTGGAATGACCCTGCCAGGCCTTTCCTCTCATCTCTGTGCAGAGCTGAATGCAGAAAGGCAGTTTCCATGCACAGAAAGGCTCTGAACCAGTTCTGCACTGCCAAAAATGTACATTTCTGCCAAAAAAAAAAAGAGGCTGGAATGAGCTCTGTGGATGTGCCATCGCAGCTAGTCTGGCACAGCAGCTGAGCAGCCTCTGTGCCATGGAAATGGGCAAGGTCTTGGATCTGCTGAGTGTCCTGTCCCAGTCCTGCTCCAGTACTTCACCAGTTACTGCACTGGTGCCCTTCTGCTGAGACTGGGAGCTTGTGTGGGAGGAGCTGAACTTGTAGGGAGATTCAGACCTGGGTCTAGGGTCAAGGGGAGAGGGAGAAGAAAACTGCTCAGGTTTGATTTCCTTAAATGGAAACACCAAGTTCTGCTTAGTTTCTGTTTCTTTTCACACTGGGGATGGAGCTGGATGGACAGTGTGCCCA